TAAGGTCTTGCTGTTTATGTTTTTTGTTTATTTTTTTATACAAGTTTCAGTTTTGCTCGATTTCGAGCAACAGGTTATCAAGTTGTAATTATACTAAAGTACAACTACAATGACATTGGTTATTGCAATAGCCAATGTCATAATTTGGTAGGTTGTCAGCAAAATATACTGCAAATTATTAGAGCTTTAAAGATAGTTGTAAAGTTAGGTCTTAAATAGGATTTCAGTATGTTTTATCAGACAATGAAATGCAACGTTTTATATAATCACTAGCTGTACCCGCGGGCTTTGCCCCGTTTAACTTCATAAGTGAGCTCGTTCGCATGGCTCAATCACATCCTGGTTGAATTACGTTTGCTACGCTCACTCACTTTTAGGTTGGAGCTCGTTCGCTGCGCTCACTTGCCTTCAGGTTAGCTCGTTCGCTACGCTAACTTGCCTCCAGGTTGAAGTTCGTTCGCTACGCTCACTCACCTTTTGGTTGCAAATTAGCTGTTGTCACAAATGTAAAAGAAATAATAGTGCTGCACCCTGTTGGTAATCCTTGTAACTTAAATGCTATTGAACATCATAGAACAGAACCAACTTGTTTAATTCAAACAGCTGTTAAGATTCATTAATTCCATTTAAATATGAGTACTCATAAGGTTAACATGGGAAACTCCAGAGCCACTGGGGCGGAGCCCGAGAGTCCGATCAGAATAAAAACAGCTTAGTTTTCTTATTTAATGTCTAAAGAATCAGTGTACCAAATTTCAGCCTCCTAGGTAAATGGGAAGTAAGAGAATTAGTGATGAGTGAGTGAGTGAGTCAGTCAGTGAGTCAGTGAGGGCTTTGCCTTATATATATATAGATTATCATCTTACTTATTAAAAGAGTGAAGTGATTTTTGTCACCAAGATTACGGCAAAACTACTGGCTCAATTTTGACGTTTAATATGTTGTTTGAAAGCCCTTAAAGTCTCGATGCGCATTTTGAGGGTCTCAAGTCGGTGCAATGACCCAGAAAATCCTTGGCATTCTCTCAAAGTATGATTTTGGCCCATTAAGATGAAAATGGATCCAAATCAAAAGAAAAAAAAAAACAGATCAGCTATGAATGATGTAATAAAAAAAACAAGAAGACAACTAACATGACTACATAATCATTATGCAGCAAAACTAAAATGTCTAGTTGCTTGTAACGTGATTAATACTACAAATCTACAGGTTGACAAGTGACAAAAAACAATCATTTTATTATTTTGTTACATTATGGTGGTTTACATCAAATTAGGTTTATGTTAAAAGTACAAATTTGTGTACTATAGGTTTATAAAACATATATATGAAAATTGTTAGTCATTGTTTTACGTTTTAATACTTCATTGACCCAAAAACAAAACCTTTTTACATAAGTCATTCCTAACCCTATTGAGGTGAGTTTTTTCATTCACTTTCTTTGAGTAATAATTTAACCTTATTTTGAAATACTTTTTGCAGAGTGCTCGTATGAGTAGTATAAAGTGGCACTGTTCTGGATCTGTTTCGTACATCATATGGTCAGTGATAAAAAGATTTCTCCCAACACAACTGTTAACTACATCCATTGTCATTTTTTCCAAAATGTTATTGTTAAACACATTGCCAGTTTTTATTTCAGTACGAAGAACTTTCTCTCTCAGCCTACACACTGTTGTTACTCCTACTGAAGGTTGAATAAGACCACCCCTATTTTTACACGATATTAAGTTGGTCTTGTTGCTCTTGTCAGTAGTTGTAAGTAGTGATATGCATTGTTCGCATATAATACTAGCAGCTGTTGATTTGGATACGTATCCGGCGTTGTATTCAACAATATCAGTGGCGATATCTGAAGACATGTTGTCATTTGTTACGCAATTTAAAAAGTCACTTTCTGTTTCATCAACATTACAATATGTATTTTGTTCGTCATCTGTCATCGTTCTCCAGAGGGGAACGGAGGTATTTATCTCTTGAATTTCGCTCTTTTGCCTGATTTTGAACATTATTGACCTGTCCAAAGCGAAGGTATTGCCAGTGTTGCTTTCGTGAAGTTCACTATGCAGTAAGAGCCTTTTAAAAGTTGCAGTAAACTGCCTACAAGTAGGATTATTATTTGAACCTCCTCGGAAACGTATGTACGCAAACAACCTTTCAAGGTGGTCCTGGCTAACCTTGTACAGAGTTAGGTATTTTAATGGTGGATCTGGCTTGCCAACTAGCTCTTCGTATAGACCCAAGGAACTTTTTATACAAGTTAAAAACCCAAGGAAGCCAGTTTTTCTTTTGCTCTGGAGAATGTCCTCACCATTACTAGTCTTTAAGCTGCAAATGTAATCATACGTCTCATTTAAACATTTTGATTGCTGAACTATGTTTGAAGCACAAAGTGCTTTTTTTTACCACTACTTCTTATACTCTGACTGTTCAATACATCAAACAAATCGTTAAATTGTCTTATAAAACCAATCGTTGCTTGACAATCATCAAATCCTTTTACATTGTTATCTAGCAAATACTTAAGTGAATCGGCAACAGAGTTACTGAAAACCTGTGCAGCCAACTTTACTTTCATTTTCTGTTTATTGTACATGATCTTTAGTGAGTTTGTTGCCTAAATGTAATTCTTGTTCGTTTTGAACTTCATGCAATAACTTAATATACTTCCACTCTATTCTTTGATTCCCTTGCACTAGTATTCCGTAATCTCCTAGTGTATTTCGTACCAGTTTCAGCATGTGTGAAGGATCTAAAAATAAAAACACTGGATTTCCCGTACAAGGGTGAGGAATAAAGGTTTTAAGATTTTTGGTCAATATTGAGCAACCCAGTTTATTTGCCATTGCTACATTGCAAGATGTTCCATTGCAGGTCAGTGACACAACAGTCACCCCAGCGTCATGTGCTAGTGACAAACCTTGTGTAACCCGGCCAGAAAGCTGTTCACTTTTTGTGCTAGACACAAAAAAATATCCAAGAGGTATTTTCCACGCAGAATTGAAAAAAAACAAGGTGGAAAACAAGTACCTCAGATGCCAAAGTTGACGAATCATCTGAAACTGGTACTCCAACATTGACAGGGCCATGAAATTTTTTCCCATCCCATTCCAAATGCTTGTGGATGGCGATACAGTCTATTTGTAATGAGCATATTGAAGGGTGCTTACTCTTAGCAGCGTATTCTGTTAAGGCTCTTGTTACCTCTGTGGAGAACCCTGGTTCGCACTGTACACTAATACGCAATGTTCGGGTATGAGGCAAAGCAGTATTAAATGTTTTGCGAACATAGGTAGGTTTTTACGCCTTTGGCGACAAGAAATGAAGTGTGACAGCGAATGCTCTTAAGCGTTCTTCATAACATTTCTTCAACTGTGGATTTGTTGTTTTGTCTATAGCACGTCTAATTAAACAGTCAGCATTTTGAGATATTGAACTAAGTAATGTACAATCTTCTTCTTGAAAGTTTAGTTTTTCTTTTAAATATTTACATATGCTTTTGATGTTAACAATTTTTTTCTTCAACCTTCTATTGGACTGTCTTAGAGTTTTAACTTTTTTTCTTGCCTGAAAAAGTTAATTTTTAGTTAAACTCAATTCTTTTTTCAAGGCCTGCTTTCTTGGCGAATCATTAAGCTTATTAGTAACAGATTTTTTAATCTTTTTTAGGTGGTTGTCTGAAGCATTCAGGATCACTAATTCTTCTTTGTTGCTCAGTTTCATTGGTACTAATGCTTGAGCATTTCTCAGTTTCTTTGGTACTTTCATTTGTTATTGTCTCATTGAAGAAATGAAGAGTCTTTTTGCTGGAAGCTTACAGGTAGAAGTTACCTTAGAGTTAGGAATACTTGGAAACACACTCGGAATAACACCTTCCCTCAGCCTGACGTAACACAGTGATGTTCTGTCTAAGTCTGCTTCAGTAAAGTGGTCAGAACATACACCGGATTCACCTGAAGGTTTCCAATCTTTACGTCTTACAGCAACTGTCCATTTTTGACGTAGAACAGGTTCCTTTGGAAATCTGAAAAATAAGGCCATGTCACACTTTTAAAATGAAATAAAAAATGTAATCATTGGGAATGAGTGACCATGAGAACCTATATATATTTATACAGCACCAGAAACTAGAGTTTTAGCTGAAAACAATGGTGCAAACATTTTTAGGCGGGGACAAATATATATGGGAACTACAGCCGTTTAAACTGTGTTTGTACTTGTGTAAATCTACTGAATTTTGATGCAATGTTCCCTCACTAAACACTTTATTTATCAATTTCCTGTTGTTTCTAAATTATTTAAAATAAATTTTATGCCCACACTAATAGTTAATAAGTTATTTAGTATACGCTAATTTAAATAGGTATCAATAGTTTGAGAATCAATCCTAGAAATGATTCAAATATGAGATTACAGTAGTTATATTCTTACACAAAGTACCACAGTTATTTAAATTTTTAGTAAAATACATTGATTATAAATGAAATTGAAATGGAAATAGGTTATAACAAATTATACGTTTTAAACAAACTCTTAACAAGGAATAAAGCCTACCTGTGAAATGTTAAACCTTCCTTTTTCTTCCTGGTGCTGTTGCTACAACCAAAACAAATACAGTGCGGCATTTTGGAAACAAAGTCAACAATCGTAATAACATAACATAGGCTATGCTTGCCATAATACACGAATACGGTGGAAAGAGTGGATGCAAATAGATGCGAATGCAAGACGAGACGACTCTTGGGCCGCGGGAGCACTGGTGCCGGGAAGTGGAGGGGAGGCGCCATCTTGTGGGGTGTTTGGGCTTTAACGCCACACCACTGAGCGACCGCTCTATTATTATTCTTTGCTCTGTGAACTTGCCAGACGCCCATAATTTTGACACAAAAATCACCTTAGGAATTAAGTATATAGATAGAATCTGAATAAGTGATAGTGCAGTTTTAATTTGTAAAAGGTTACTGTTTAACACCAATTAAAACCCAATCTGTCTGGCACAGGTTTTCCTACAAATTTTGAATGCCAGCTTTACTCACCTAGGGAAGGATGGCAAATTGGTACATGAGATCTCTTCCAAAAGCAAGATCCTTCTGTGTCTAAGCCAAATATCAAAAAGTTTCAAACTTTTTAGTCATCTTCTCCGTAAGCCGCTTTATCGGGTGAGTGTTTAAGTATCTTGGTAATTAAGTAGAGATGGAAGATAATGTTACTTTGCAATAATAGGAACGTCACTTAGCTTTTCGGTAATAGGTGAAATAACTACTATTATTTTGTCACCTTTAACTCTAGAACGTTACATCTGGTTTCATTGATCTATTACAAAGGTACTATTATTACTTGAAGCTTGCTGTTAGAAGGAAGACACAATCAGTGGGATAGTTATTGCATTATTTGTTCGTTATACTGTATAAGTTCAGATGATGTTACTAAAATAATAGAGTACCTTTTCTCACTAATCTATTACCTAATTGGTGACACTTAAGTAACAGCATTATTTATCCTATTAAGTTAAATAACGTCCACCTTTATAAGTTATAAGTTACCTCTATAATTGTAAGTTATGAACATGTTTATGTCTATGACAATATTTATAGTTATATTTGTAGAGACCTTAATTTAATTTACAATATAACGTAACAATTACTGATCTACTTGTTTGGCCTCAGCGTTTGACCTCTATATGTCGTAACCTCTATGCTTAATATGGTAAGTTTGTTCATGGAGTTCTAAAATTGAGTTGGTAAGACTGAATTAGTTAGAAAAATAAATAACTAGCTCTATATGGATGTTGTAACAGCAAGGTGTCTGGTATGCGTGTGAACGGCTTCGATGTTGTGTGTCAGAGTTACGGCAGATTTGTTGTACCTCGGGCAAAGCTGAAGACAACAATGGTGACTCTGGATCGTTCCTGCTACGTGTGGACGAAGCTTTGCAGTTGTTGGAAGTCCAAGGATCATCTGTAGCCTCCGAATCCTCATGGACTCAACTCATCAATGACATAATCTATCAGGCTGTTACCATAGCCAAGATGGCCACTGACCTGGACTACAACGAAATAACATCAGCCTGCCACGGGGTTAGTTGTTTGTTGAATATTATTATTTAACATTTTTTTCACTTTGTTGAAACATTGTTTTATCATTTTTTTTGTCTATTATTTTTTTATATCTTAAACTTCTTTGATGTAAAATTAGCATTGCATGACTTCTGATAACAGATCTAAAATTTTGGACGCGCTGCAGAAAGTCAACAGTCCCGGAAGGTCAAATAATTTATACCTGTGCCGCTAGGTCAAAAACTACAATGTTTGCAGTGTCTGTAGATCAAAAATCCCAGTAAGTCAAATAGTACAGTCCGAGCTAAAAACGTGGTCTATGTTAAAGCAATTGACTTATTGGGAATTTGACCTAATGCAACAGCAGTTTTAATATAACGAAATAAGATAAAATACAAGTTCAGTTTCGCTGAGTCAACAGTGCCGGAAGGTCAAAAGTATAATCTGTTAAAAACAACGATAGTCCTCTCGACGCATGACTTCAATAAATTCGCGTTTTGGTGTACTTAAAGTTGTGCTAAAATTTTGAAAATTGGCACAGAGCTTCTTGGTTAGTCCTACTCGATGACTATTTTGTTGGAACTTCTATTTACCGATCTAATTAATAAAAATTGATATGTATGGTGAAATAGTTTTAAATCGTGATTTCTAACATGAAAAAGTTAGCATGCGAGATTTTTTTTTGTTTTTGGGTTAGAGAGGTTTTGTCTGTGGCAAAGTTGTAGCCAAAAGTGTGATGCGTAAAATATATTTTTTTGAATTTTTACAATCAGTGGTTCAATAGATAACTTGGGTTGAAGAGAACGGCAAATTTAGCATTTCACAACGCATGTAAAGAACTACATCGTACGATGCGACTGCTGTGTGGACTTATAATTTACAGTTCTAAGAACCAGAAAAAGATGAATATACAGATCACCAGTACATTCATATTATTTATAAAACATCTTTCTGTATTACCAGCTTACATTTTTCACTTATAAGAATACATCATAAACAGGGTGTTAAAAATAAGCGGGGAGATACTTTACCTAGTAATTCCTTGGGTCAAAATAAACAGAAAATCAAGGATAACATTTTTTCCGAAATCGTTTCGTTAACCAGATATCCACCATTTTGTATTTTTTACATACAAATATTTATCTTTGCACTTTTCCAACCGATGTTTATCAAACTTGGTATGTATGTTAAGGTAGGAGAGACCCATGTTATAAAAAAAGATTCATCTCGATTCACCCTAAAATTTCAAAATTTAACACTTAACTACAATATAATATACTTTACTACACCACAATATTTACGTATCACCATAAATCTTTAACAAAATAAAACGTTAACATTTTTAAAATCCAAAGTAAATCAATATAATCTTTCTTTTTTGAAAAATATATTTAAAAAAAGGCGATGGTAAAATAACGACAGGCGAGTTTCGATCTGGGTGTTTCAGGTTTGAATCTAGGAGGATTTAACATTAATTAGGTAACATTAATGTTTAATCCTCCTAGGTTTGAACTGATTGAGAGGAATACATGAAACCGAAGGGGGGAGGTAGCAACAAGTGCACTAGTATTTACTAGTGTCCAATTACAATTTCATGGATTCAACCAAAACCTTTTCTATTTCACTTATTTTCAGCTGTTAAATTTCAAACGATACGTTTTAGCGACATCATTAACGTTATTATCATCATCATCGTTTGAGTTTGAGTTTGCGGCAATGTATTTTTATGAATAAAACCTTTAATTTGATACCAAACTTGACCTCTGCTGCTATTAATTGACTGTATGCACTATTAATTAACAGCTGTGTCTAAGGATTATGTCGGCCTTAGTCACAAACAGGACAACAAGATCGCTCCACTCATCCCACACTCATCTCCATTCATACTTGGCTTAAAATGCATACATTTGTATGGTCGCCATTTCAAAGCAACATGGCTACATTATCAATGACAAACGTGGAAAACCTTATACGAGTGTGAGTAAATCCGAAAACAGAGTAGCCTAAGTCCGAAAACAACTCTAAATACCCCCGCCGCAGCAAACCTGCAGACTAAGCGAATTTCCATTTCCCTGAATGGATTTACACTAAAATGTCTCCTTAAAATTATCACATTTATTCCCTATTTAAATAGAATCAGTTTAAAACATACTTAGGTTTGCTGCAACAGGGAGGGTAAAAGTGTTTTTTATGTAAAATGTTAATAGTTAGTAAGAAATAAAAACATTTTCCAAATTTGAGCAAAATATGTTTATAAACAAGCAAACTACAACAGTTTACTTATTCTCCATAAGAATAACATGGGAATTTTAAATTTACAATTTTTTGGAATTTTCTCCGTAACCATTAGGCGCATTATAACGCTTCAATATACTAAATTATTTGTTTTTTTAAGCTCTACAAAATAGTTTCGAAAGAAATTGCAAAATTTTATGTTTTTTGGGTCAAAAATGGGAAAAACCCATTTTTACCCCATAACAGCCCCCATAAACCCCCGTTCCCATGGTCCGATCATGCTGGTTCGCGAACTCGTTCGAATAAACGTAGGTTTACACGTTTGTACCAAATTTCATCAAAATCGGATCATTTTTGCTCGAGTTATCGCGCTAACGGACACATATATATATATATATATATATAAATATATATATATATATATATATATATATATAAATATATATATATATATGAATTTGAACGGATGGTGTTTTTGACCTCTAGGGACCTCAAAACGAAAAAAAAATCGGTCCCGGGTCCAGGTCTTACCGTGAGTACTACGGTAATAGCTTATTCCCTATATGGGAAATTCGCTAAAAACAATAAGCAATAAATTGCAAGAACCGTTGGGATACAGCCTGTATCCCATGTGTTTTATAGGTAAAGAAGACAAGGGCGGTCCTAGACATATATTTTGGGGGGTCACCGGGGGCCTGGGGGGTATGGAATACCCCCCAAAAAGGAGGGGGTCCTGGGGTTCCCCCCGGGAAAAACGTATAAATAAATAAATATAGGCTATACAGGGTGATCAACTCAAGGAGGCCACCATTGGAATATCGGAAACGGTAAGAATTAGAGAAAACTTAAAATGGAGGACATTCCTTTATTTTTTTTTTCATGATGGGTCACTTTATTTTTTGTGGCAGTTAAGAATATGATTTTAGTTTTTTGTCATTCAGCCACCATTTTCCAAAATGGCGGCAAAATTTGAAATTTCTTCTGGAACACCCTATATTTTATTATGTTTTCGGATAGAATAGGCAATTTAAAAACTTTTTTAGCCTTGACATTTTTTCGATAAACCCACTCGTTTAGGAGTTACAGCCTATGGAAAAATGACTTCCGGTGTACATTTTACATCATGTAGCTCCTAAACAAGTAAGTTTATAGCAAAAATGCTAAGAGTAAAAAAGTCTTACAATTGCATCCACATTCCAAAAAGACCATACAATTCATTAAAAATATGAATTATATTATTTAAAAAATGGCGGCAAACTTGAAAAGTGGAAAACTTTTTATTTTATAGTCTTTAAGGAATGTAGATGCAATTCTAAGACGAATTTACTTTTTGCGATTTAGCTCTAAACTTACTCGTTCAGGAGCTACATGATGTAAAATGTACACCGGAAGTCGTTTTTCCATAGGCTGTACTCCTAAACGAGTGGGTTTATCGAAAAAATGTCCAGGCTCAAAAAGTTTTTAAATTGCATATTCTATCCGAAAACATGATAAAAAAACTAAAATCATATTTTTTACTGCCACAAAAAATAAAGGAATGTCCCCCATTTAAAGTTTTCTCTAATTCTTACCGTTTCCGATTTCCCAATGGTGGCCTCCTTGAGTTGATCACCCTGTATATATGAATTTGAACCCCATGATATATATGAATTTGATATTTTGTATGTGTTTTTGGCCTCTAGGGACCTCAAAACGAAAAATTAAATCGGTCCCGGGGTATAAGTACTACGGTAATTGGTAATAGCTTATTCCCTATATGGGAAATTCGCCAAAAACCTAATTGTTATGTAGAACAATATTACATTCAACCAGCTGTTAGTTAAAACAACTTATATGGGACTAAAACAAATCGATGATTACAAAGATTCCTTGTTAACAATAATTTGAACATCCTACTATTTTACTATGCATATTTAATTAATCTGCCATCCTCATACCTAAATTGAATGTATCGATGGTCAGCATTACACATAGTATAAAAAAGTCAACACTAAATATGTCTTTAAATTTGTTTCCAAATGCTGAATTTGTGTCACAAATGCTGAATGTTTACAGCTGTTATGTTAAGCAAATTATATTGTACTTAAAGCTAGCTTAGAAGGTTAGCGTCGGCTGCTAGACTTTTTAAAAATTAAAACTTAATTTCTAAAAAACTGGGACCCTTAATTATAATTATGGCTTTGACATTCCCTAGTTCTCAAAATGATCTTTCTTTCAACACAAAAATAATGAAAATCCGTCGACTGGTTGATTCAGAATGTGAAAAACCCCCATTTACGTTCTAATAATATATATGATAGTTTGGACAGGTTTCAACCCTTCCGAGGCGTAATACATTTACACAGTTTATATGAAGACTACATTATAACTCATAAAATAGTTCTACAATTAAATGGATCTCCTTTTACAAACGTATATAATAACCAGAAATTTTCAGATCGTCGTTGCGGGTATTTTATGCCACAAATTTTGACGAAAGGCTATACCTATTTACAGTGTTGACCAAACAGTTGGCAAGAAGCATTAATAGATAAGCTATGTACTAAATATTATAATTTTAGCTCTATTCTAATTATGACAAAACACGAAGTAACTAAAAGCGAGTTTTGTTTGTGTAGTAAGCGTTGCAGGAGGTCTACTTTACACTGAATCGACGTTCACTTTTATTGCTTTTGATCTTCCGGCACTGTTGACTCAGCGAAACTGAACTTGTATTTTACCATATTTCGTTATATTAAAACTGCTGTTGCATTAGGTCAAATTCCCAATAAGTCAATTGCTTTAACATAGACCACGTTTTTAGCTCGGACTGTATTATTTGACTTACTGGGACTTTTGATCTACAGACACTGCAAACATTGTAGTTTTTGACCTAGCGGCACAGGTTTAAATTATTTGATCTTCCGGGACTGTTGACTTCCAGCAACATTCCCAAAATTTTATTGTAATTTTTAGTATCTGAAATGCAAGTTTGGTTTATTGCTCCAAATTATATTAACTCTAGGCTTTAAGAGACTTTTACATATAATTTTGTTTTGTCATACACATTGTTTAGTATAATAATTTTTGTATATTTTTAAGTTAGTTATATTGACATGAGTTACTTTGTAAAACAATTCTTGTACTGAAAGACGCTCGCAAATAAAGGCATTTTTATTCATTTATTTATTTATTTATTTAAGACTATACTTCTTAGATTATAAATGTTGCTAATATTTGTAAATACATCAATTGGTTACAGATTTTGGAAATGAATTCTCAGTTGGTGAATGAAGGCTCAGCTAATTCAAACCAACCTTCTCACCTGACGGATGCCATGTTCAACCATCTTGTCACTTTGGAGGAAAGGGTCAATCTGGCCATCCTCAGGCTTTTCTTGCAGGTAAACTAAACTAAACTAAACTAACTAATCAAAAGTTAAAATAGTAGCCACTTTAAAATATAAAATAGTTTGTATTCTAATTAGTTATGGGAAAATATTCAAGTTACCTGCGACCAAAAGAACACATATCTTTTCTGTATATATTGCTTGAAGAAACATTTAATTAGGTGGTTGGTCAGAAACATTAATTAGTCCTTATCTAATACATAATAGTGACATGTAGGGACATAAGTCCCTAAAAAGCTAAAATCTATAAAACAAAGTATTGTCAAATGATCAAATCAAATGATCCTTCACGTAGCAGCTCTGAAAATTGTAAGTTATTAATTTTTAGATCGCGTTAGTGAAAGCAGAATTTTATCTAAATAATTTTTTATATTAGTAAACACACTCTATCAACAGAATTAAAAGTAGAATAAAAGTAATGATGCATTTGTAATCGCATGTTAATTGTAAACAAAGGAGACGTTTTTCAATCCCAATGCGGTACTTTGGTATTATCCGGGGGCCACCCTTATACAGCGTGCTGCGGGGGTTATGTTAGGTTGGGTTATCATAAATATGTTTGTAGGACTTTCCTCGTTTTGTTATGAATCGAACGATACCAGATGAGTTATACTTTCGTCCATCGAATCCCCTCCAGGTAGGCCAAGGTCAGGTTGTTGACCGGATTGTGCGCATCATCTGTCACCACACCTGTATCTGGATCAGGGTCCTGAGTGGTGACTCATCTGGTATCGCTCGATTCATAACAAACAAGGAAAGTCTTACAAACATATTTACGTTAACCGAACCTAACATAATATAACCACCGCAGTGCGCTGTATACCTTCTTGGCGGAGTACATGTGGCAGCTAGCGGCGACGACCCATTCAACTCAATCCTCGCTGACATCGCTGCCTTCTGGGAGGAAGAACTCAAAGGCCGCTAACCGTAATCATGTCAAATTTGGACAGTAAGTCAATTAAAGTATGTTCTTTTATTTATGACAACAGCTAATTTGTAACCAAAAGGTGAGTGAGCGTAGCAAACAAACTTCAACCTGGAGGCGAGTTAGCGTAGCATACAAATTAAACCTGAAGGCAAGTGAGCGCAGCGAACGAGCTCGTAGCAAACAAACTTCAACCAGGATGCGATGAGCGATGCGAACGAGCTCATCTTGAAAATTTATTTATTTATTTATACAGAATTTACAATAGCTACAGGTATAAACCCAAAACAGCTATAATGAAAAATAATACAATATTATTACATAAAGTGAAGGAAAAAAAAAGAAAAAAAAGTGCACATAAATAGACAATACAAAACCAGTGATGATAATAGTAAAAAATAGTGAATACAAGTTAATAATAATGGACAACGGTGTTGAAAATTTAACTTATTTTGGCTGCAAATCTAAAGGGATGGATTACATTAAGTAAGCAAAGCGTTTGTCTTAAATTTAAACTGCTTAATAGTGTCCAGAAAAAACATCTATTTTATTATTGTGGACATTTAATAAACGTTAGCCTGTAAAATTGAACAGTGTTACAATGAGGGATAAAAAATAAAATTGACGATCTTGAATTATTACGAGGAACATAAAAAGCAATCTTACTCAACAAAAACAAACTATCAACTTTGTTATTTAGGATTTTATACAGAAAAATCAATGCTAAAACTTCCCTTCTCAATGTAAGGCTTTGGAAATCAAACAATCTTCTCAATGAATCAGTTGACATATGCCAGTCACATATCTGATTATACCTTTTTAAAAACAAGTATCGTAGAAATATATTTAGGAGAATTTCTATTGCATTTTTGTGGTATGAGTTGAAAGGAAAATGAACAAGCATTTGACATAAAACCACATTGGGACAGGATGGCGTCTGTCGGGCCAGCTAGTATATATATATATGTATATACTAGCAGAGTACCCGTCCTTCGTACAGGTTTGGCATATAAGTATAAAATGCATATTGCAGTTATACTCAGGCTTTGCGTTTTCAATGGGGGAGGATACAGTTTGATAGAATTTGCTTCTTGAAATTTACGTTATACTATTGTATTACACATCTGCCATAGCCATATAATGTTCTACCACTTCACCTAAACAATAGAGAAAAATAATTAATCGAACATTAAAAAAATATCACAAATTATTCATGAAATTAAAAACATAAACATAACTGTAAACAATCCTACTTTGACAGTTCTCATTGCATATCACAGTTTTTTGTTGCTGCTTGGTTCAAATTACTGTTTTCATAAATGCAAAACGAAAAACAATAGTGCTGCACCCTGTTGGTAAATCTTATAACTTTTTAATGCTTTTGCATATCATAGAACCAACTTTTTTAGTTGAAACAGCTGACTAAATTCTTTAATTCTTTTAAGTATGAATACTCATAAGGTTAACATGGGGAACTACAGAGCCACTGGGGCGGAGCCCGAAAGGATTTTTGAGATAAGAATATGCCTATATGTTGATCGGGAATGTGAGCTATCATCATGCCAAATTTCAGCCCAATCTGCCCAGTACTTAATGCGAGATTGAACTTCAAACAAACAAACAAACACACAAACTTTCACATTTATAATATTAGTAAGATGTGTCCGTCCAGATGATAACTTGAGTAATTTTTGTCCGATTTTGATAACATTTCGTTTGAAGGTTTAAGGCGGGATAAACTTGAATGAGTTCGCGAAACAGCATGATCGGACCATGGGAACGGGGTTTTATGGGGTAAAAATTGGTTTTTCTCATCTTTGGCCCTCAAAACATAAAATTTACCAATTTCTCTCTAGACTGTCTTAAAGAGCCCAAAAAAACAAATCATTCAGTAGGCCTATATCAAAGTGTTTTTGTATGGTTAGGCTACGGAGAAAACTCAAACAATTGTAAATTTAAAATTCCCATGTTATTCTTGTTTAGTTTTATAAAAAGTAAAAAGTATTTTTTTAACATTCAAGTTGTTTCTCTTTATTCCATAACTGTTTACAATTCAATATCATTGCTTAATTATTATTGACAACATCTGTTAAACAAATTATTTTAAACAAAGACTTGTAATAATAAAATAAACAGTTACCTTGTTCAATAACCTTTGGTGCTATTAGATGACGACCGGTTTCGTGACGACAATCACATCATCAGGTCAATCCTCGTAGAACGATTCGTTATAATAAATACATAAAGTTTTTACCGAACACAAGACGAAAACACATTATATTTACAAAATATTTACACACAGAAACCATCGCGATGCGTGCACGCTTATGTCGAGCCGGCCGCGACTCAAAAGCGACATAAGCGTGCACGCATCGCGATGGTTTCTGTGTGTAAATATTTTGTAAATATAATGTGTTTTCGTCTTGTGTTCGGTAAAAACTTTATGTATTTATTATAACGAATTGTTCTACGAGGATTGACCTGATGATGTGATTGTCGTCACGAAACCGGTCGTCATCTAATAGCACCAAAGGATATTGAACAAGGTAACTGTTTATTTTATTATTAAAATTTTCAATATCCAGTAGTAGGAAAATGAACTCTGAAAGACTTGTAAGTTAATATGTAAGTAAGTAATATACAAACATCTCCCTTTTTTAGCCGTCTTGACTGTCCTTCTTTTTTAACATAGATTTAATTTTTCTTATATGATGTGTGTTTCTTCTTAAAACAATATTACTTTCTAATTTTACCAAATAAGAACGAGGTTCCGGTAATTTTTTAAAAATCACACCAGGATTCCAAAATTTGGTTTTAATATCCTGTACTAAAACCTCTTCTCCCACTTGGAATTCATCTTCTTTCTTCAAGGCTGATCTGTTATACATTTGTTCTTGATACCTTTTGTTTTCATTTATGCTTTCATGTACCTCAAAAGAAACTGTTTTAGGCTGTAAATAACTGTTTGGTATAGGTAGTTTTGATCTTATGTGTCTGCTGTTTAAAAGCTGAGAAGGTGAATAGTCCAGGTTTGCAACAGGTGAGTTTCTATAATTTAATAAGAGTTCAAAATCCTGTTTACTTTCAGCACTCTTCCGTAACATTTTCTTTACAATTCCTACAGCCTTTTCTGCTAGTCCATTACTTTTTGGATAGTGAGGACTTGATGTGATTATTGTAAAATTCCAATTTATAGAAAAAGTGTTTCATTTCATAGCTATTAAATGGTTGATTATCAGCCACCAAATACATAGGGATCCCATTTCGACTAAATAGCTCTTTGAATTTACCAATTATTGTATTGCTGTTTTTACTGTTCAACTTAAATACATCAATCCAACGTGAATAAAAGTCAACAGTTACAAGATAGTATTTACCTGCATATTCCGCAATATCAGCTCCAATCTTGATGAAGGGTATTTGAGGAACACTGTGAGCTTTTAAAGGTTCATTCAATTTTGAACGTTGGTGTTTCATACATATAGAACATTGAGATACTGTATTTCTTATGTCTGATGACATTCCTGGCCAGTAAAAAAATAAATTGGCAGTTTTCAATATTTTAGTTGTTCCCAGATGAGTCTCATGCAGGTGTGACAGCATAAATTTCCTCAGTTTACTTGGTATTATAAGTTTGTCATTCAAATAGAGTAATCCATCTTGATGAGTTACGTCATTTCTCATATTGAAATAAGTCTTTAGGTCACCATCATTAACAGATTTTGGCCATTGGGTTTTACTAAATTGTATAACTTTGTTTAAAACATCATCATTTCTTGTTTCCTCTTTAAATTGCTTGAGTCTTTTATCACTAAACTTCACTTCAGAAGATTCAATACAATGCACAATACCATCTAAGGGTTCATACCATTCAACCTCATCTTTAATACCATTATGAGATAAAAAATCTGCAATATGCATGTTTTTTCCTGGCAAATATTTTAGTTTAAAACTGTATATCATTAATTTAAGTCTAAGTCTTCTTATTCTGTTATTGACAATTTTAAACAATGGCTTATTAAAAATTGACAAAAGAGGTAAATGGTCAGTAAAAATTGTTACATTTTCA